AATTCGAACAAAACATTCGAAATAGAAAGCCACTTTCAACCACTTTCAGCCTCATATCTCCCGCACCCTTATAGCTATCGAGACGCAACCACCCCTATGCACGAATGGAGACTTGGGGCTACCACCACATACAAACACCATTCACGTGCGATGTGTAGTTTTGGTGGAAAAGTGAAATATAGGATATATACGTCCATTTTTATATATATATATACATAGATATATTTATTGGCATTGGCTGATATAAAATATTTTATATACATTCATTTGCAATTACAAAGGAAATTATAATTAATTCATCAGTTAATTTCAAAAACAAAATTCCAGTTTTTACAAACAACAAAAAAGCTAAAAATTTAACTAAAGATGAACAAAATTGTTGATTTTTCTTCTCTAAAACACTAAAATCATTATTCAACTTATTTCTATTGCCATCATAAAGATTTGAATATATACTAAAACTCTTGAAAAATAAATTGTATAAATAAATGAATTCAACTAAAAAATTGTTTCTTAATATATCAAATTCTTTATATAGAATTTATATGTTCAAAATTACATTTGTATATTATGTGTATTTCTGATAATTCTGAATCAGAAAAATAATCTTCACTTATTAGTATGCCTTATTCAGGAAAAAAAACAAAAACATTAAGAGTCAGCTTTTAATAAGATAAAGTGCATTTTAGGATCTACAAATACCATCATCAGATCCAAAAATTCAATGTTAACAGTTTAACATTCAAATAGAATAACTGCTTGTGCTTCTTACATTTTCCATTACAAATGGCGATGCAATTTTTTTGAGTTCATCTATTACTTATAAAAGAATTCTGACTTAATGTCAGAAATCCATCCTGAAAATCAGACATTCTGCATGAAAACACTAAGCAAAGTCTATTTCCCATTATTTTAAATGAGAAAAATTATAATGTGTTATAAACCAAACTTTTAACTAATTTGCTAAAAATATAGTGAAACTTCTATATGTAAGTAACAAACTGTTGCTTTGTATTACAGCAAGTACAGTCTAAATGCCAAAGTACAAATATTACACCTGCTGACATTCAATGTCATTGCTAATTACGCCAACTGGATCTCCTCATCTGATCTTTGCTTCCAGACCAATTAATTTAGAATGTATAACCATACCTTCTAAATTAATTGGACTGGAAGAAAAGATCAGAGGGCCCAGTTGAATTAATTGGCAATGAATCTGCATGGTAAGCAGGAGTTGCAGGTTTGAGTCCTGCTCTGAATTGATCCTCTCATCCAGACTATTCTAAATCAATTATTTATTTCTAATTATTAAATTAAACACAAGATGGTGGCTTAACTCCCTACCTTTAGTCCAAATTATGTAATATATTTGTAATTGATTAACCATACTATAGCCCAATTAAAATCCAGCAGTATCATTTTTTTAAAGATTCACTTAATTGATTAAACTGATTTAATATCTAAAGTGTGCATGTGCATTTTATAATGAAAATATAAAATATACAATGATGTAATTGATACCAATTCCATGGTAACTTTTATGTATCTACAGTACTGTACATTCTCACTTTTAAATAAAGGGTCTAGCCAAATAAGCATGTGAAAAGTGCCCCACAAACTAAATAGAATTTTTTTTAGATGGTATATCATTCACCTTGGAATAAAAATTAGTGTAGCAATTTTCAAGTTCTTAATCTTTTTCTTCCTACAGAAATTGAGAAAAATGTGATTTTTTTGTTTTTAATTTTTCATTACTTTATGAACATTTTAAAAAGACTTTTTAAAAATACAGTATGGTGTTATCTACATTATCATTTTACATATTAAAAATTTAATTTAGATTTTTTTGGCACAAAATCTGAATTTTAAAAAAATAAATAAGATTTCAAATCATTTTTCTAATTCAAAATGTGGCAGTACTGTCTCCATTTTATTTCTGTTATCTTGTGTTTAATTTAATAATTAGAAATAAATAATGTTTCCAAGAGATAAAAAGCGTACATTTTTTTTACAGATGTGGACAGTAGTTTTAAAAAAATTAAAAACCAATTTTTTAATATTAATAATCTTTATTTTGCTGCCAAATTGTATTAAAAATTATTGCAAAATTTGTTAATACAAGTAAAAAAGACAGTCATTCTAAAAATTCCTAGACGATCACCATTTTTATTTTATCCAATGTTCCAGAACAAACTATAGATAGCCAGACCTTCCTTTTTAGGCTATTCAGCTGTCCAGTTAATACATTCCTTAAAAACACAGAAATCCAATTAAAATAAAAAAAAATTTTTATTTTAATTGGATATAAAATAAAAATACAGTTACAGGTCATCAAAAATAGTTATTGGTTTTTTTCCCCATCAAAATATCATCAAATTCATTAAAAATTACATTGTTCTGCTGCTGAGATATTGAGTTAATGCTTTTGCTTTTGTCTTTCATGTTTTGTCACATTTTTTGATTATTTAATAATATATACAGTATATAAAATTTGAGTATAAGCATACACATTTAAATTTTTATTTTATTCAGAATTTTAAAAACAATTAAATGTAGTATAAGTTGAAGATTTATTAATTAATATCCAATAGTAATTCATCTTTTTTGTTTGACTGCTGTTTTTTGCACTAGTTCATTAATAAAATGCCCATGTTTGAAATACTGGTATGGAATAATACAACTTTTAAGGCATTGGTAATTATGATAATGATAACTAATAATTATTGGATGTTATCAGTCTCATGTTGAACTGATATCATTTAAAGACTGTTTAATTAAAAAACTTATCTAAAGATAATACTATAACTAAACTCTGCTTACAACAAGCAGTTTTATAAGTGTATTTTAACTTATATGTTTTGATGTTCTAATTCTAACAGCATTATCCAATCAATAACAATATCTGTAATCACAAATAAGTCCAAAAATAAACATCACAAAGCCCATTAGTTATATTAAAGCCAAATGATTGTCAGATTAATTTGGACTATATTATTATTATTATTAATTAAATATTATGTAATTGGCCTATATATGGTGCCTAACACCTGTAGGTCAAATTACATAGTATTTAATCAATTATATAGCCCAATTTAATCCAGAAATCATTTGGATTTAATAAACAACAAAGTCTATTACTTATAAAAGAATTCTGACTTAATGTCAGAAATCCATCCTGAAAATCAGACATTCTGCATGAAAACACTAAGCAAAGTCTATTTCCCATTATTTTAAATGAGAAAAATTATAATGTGTTATAAACCAAACTTTTAACTAATTTGCTAAAAATATAGTGAAACTTCTATATGTAAGTAACAAACTGTTGCTTTGTATTACAGCAAGTACAGTCTAAATGCCAAAGTACAAATATTACACCTGCATGTGATTCTGACTGATCTACAGTTTATAAAAAAGCTTTATGAATAGTGTTATTAACATTATAAAATAATATTATAATTACAAATGTATAAATAGAGTATATTTCACAATAAGTAATGATTTAAAAAATTAAGTTATAAAATATTATTAATAATAAATTTAATAATAAAAAATATTTACCTTTACAATACAGGCACAAGTTCTTTTTGTATTAGACTGAACACTAAAATAAAAATTCTGATTACTATACTTGCTGAATTAGTGATTACAGATTAAAATAATTACAATTACATACAATTTTAAACAACATAAAATAATTACAATTTTAAATACCAATTATACTAAATACCTACTAGCTAAATAATCTTTTCAGCAAAAAATTCTCCATACGAGAAAGCAGATACATGATAATTTGAGTNAAAAAAAAAAAAAAAATTTTTATTTTAATTGGATATAAAATAAAAATACAGTTACAGGTCATCAAAAATAGTTATTGGTTTTTTTCCCCATCAAAATATCATCAAATTCATTAAAAATTACATTGTTCTGCTGCTGAGATATTGAGTTAATGCTTTTGCTTTTGTCTTTCATGTTTTGTCACATTTTTTGATTATTTAATAATATATACAGTATATAAAATTTGAGTATAAGCATACACATTTAAATTTTTATTTTATTCAGAATTTTAAAAACAATTAAATGTAGTATAAGTTGAAGATTTATTAATTAATATCCAATAGTAATTCATCTTTTTTGTTTGACTGCTGTTTTTTGCACTAGTTCATTAATAAAATGCCCATGTTTGAAATACTGGTATGGAATAATACAACTTTTAAGGCATTGGTAATTATGATAATGATAACTAATAATTATTGGATGTTATCAGTCTCATGTTGAACTGATATCATTTAAAGACTGTTTAATTAAAAAACTTATCTAAAGATAATACTATAACTAAACTCTGCTTACAACAAGCAGTTTTATAAGTGTATTTTAACTTATATGTTTTGATGTTCTAATTCTAACAACATTATCCAATCAATAATATCTGTAATCACAAATAAGTCCAAAAATAAACATCACAAAGCCCATTAGTTATATTAAAGCCAAATGATTGTCAGATTAATTTGGACTATATTATTATTATTATTAATTAAATATTATGTAATTGGCCTATATATGGTGCCTAACACCTGTAGGCCAAATTACATAGTATTTAATCAATTATATAGCCCAATTTAATCCAGAAATCATTTGGATTTAATAAACAACAAAGTCTATTACTTATAAAAGAATTCTGACTTAATGTCAGAAATCCATCCTGAAAATCAGACATTCTGCATGAAAACACTAAGCAAAGTCTATTTCCCATTATTTTAAATGAGAAAAATTATAATGTGTTATAAACCAAACTTTTAACTAATTTGCTAAAAATATAGTGAAACTTCTATATGTAAGTAACAAACTGTTGCTTTGTATTACAGCAAGTACAGTCTAAATGCCAAAGTACAAATATTACACCTGCATGTGATTCTGACTGATCTACAGTTTATAAAAAAGCTTTATGAATAGTGTTATTAACATTATAAAATAATATTATAATTACAAATGTATAAATAGAGTATATTTCACAATAAGTAATGATTTAAAAAATTAAGTTATAAAATATTATTAATAATAAATTTAATAATAAAAAATATTTACCTTTACAATACAGGCACAAGTTCTTTTTGTATTAGACTGAACACTAAAATAAAAATTCTGATTACTATACTTGCTGAATTAGTGATTACAGATTAAAATAATTACAATTACACACAATTTTAAACAACATAAAATAATTACAATTACACACAATTTTAAACAACATAAAATAATTACAATTTTAAATACCAATTATACTAAATACCTACTAGCTAAATAATCTTTTCAGCAAAAAATTCTCCATACGAGAAAGCAGATACATGATAATTTGAGTCTCTTCATAGTTTTTTTGGATACTTTAGATCTGAATTTCAATTCTCATATACCATTTAAGCTAATTAATCTTACTATGAATCCGACCTGTTTGTTATAGATAAAACTGAGACAGGTTATGTAACAAATTATAAGCTATGTTTCATGTATAATCAGAAATGCTAAATTTAGCGATCACAAATGTTTGAAAGATTATGTCACTATTAAACAGACTGGTTAAGGTGTAAATATAGGAATTGCAAAGATGAAAATTGTGAGACCATAGTCCTGGCTTGTTAATTAAGTCAGGCGATGTACTAGAACCTCGTAAACACGTTTTTTTTTTGACACAAAAAACACATTTAGCATAGAAGAATGACACAGACTCAATTATCAACCACCGGGTCTGCCTTCTCTACCAGTCCACCAGATAGCTTCTTCTCCTCTCCTTGCCCAGAATTCCTCTCTATTCCTGAAAACATCATCTATCAACACCTCCTGCACCAACCTGCTTTCTCCCATTCCAGGAACCATTTTGTTTTTATAAGGGGGTGAAGGTGTTGAAACTTGACAAAAATATTGTAACAGCAAACATTTTTTATAGTTTTTAAATACAATTTCAATATAAGTTCAAAAGCTGCCTTTTCAATTCATACAACAGGCTAGACAGATTCATAAAAAAGTTTTAAGCCAGATTACAAAGATTTTAAATTATTGAAAATTTGTAATACTATTCTGTTATACACTTAAACTTAATTTAAAATGAATTTAAGATTAGATTTCTTAGAATCTTAAATTGATTTTAAATTATTAAAATTTAGTTTTTATTGAAAACTAGCTGCAAGGACTCGCTTCGCTGGGTTTTTATTTGTATGTAATATAGTTTTTTTTATATATATAAAAGACTGTTTTTCTAAGTAATCTAGAATCTAGCTGCAAGGACCCGCTTCGCTGGGCAAAAAGTAACGATAGTGAAGATTAAGATAATTACATTATAGCTAATCTTACCCGTTTTCACAGAATGCAAGAATTAGGTCCCCCGTTTCCAGACTAATTAGAGAATTTTTACGTTTAGTCAAACGAACTATTTTCAACGTTTCTGGAACGTTTACAATCGTTCTATAATCGAACCAATATTCGAATTTTATGTTCGAATTTAATTCGAACAAATTCGAACAAAACATTCGAAATAGAAAGCCACTTTCAACCACTTTCAGCCTCATATCTCCCGCACCCTTATAGCTATCGAGACGCAACCACCCCTATGCACGAATGGAGACTTGGGGCTACCACCACATACAAACACCATTCACGTGCGATGTGTAGTTTTGGTGGAAAAGTGAAATATAGGATATATACGTCCATTTTTATATATATATATACATAGATATATTTATTGGCATTGGCTGATATAAAATATTTTATATACATTCATTTGCAATTACAAAGGAAATTATAATTAATTCATCAGTTAATTTCAAAAACAAAATTCCAGTTTTTACAAACAACAAAAAAGCTAAAAATTTAACTAAAGATGAACAAAATTGTTGATTTTTCTTCTCTAAAACACTAAAATCATTATTCAACTTATTTCTATTGCCATCATAAAGATTTGAATATATACTAAAACTCTTGAAAAATAAATTGTATAAATAAATGAATTCAACTAAAAAATTGTTTCTTAATATATCAAATTCTTTATATAGAATTTATATGTTCAAAATTACATTTGTATATTATGTGTATTTCTGATAATTTTGAATCAGAAAAATAATCTTCACTTATTAGTATGCCTTATTCAGGAAAAAAAACAAAAACATTAAGAGTCAGCTTTTAATAAGATAAAGTGCATTTTAGGATCTACAAATACCATCATCAGATCCAAAAATTCAATGTTAACAGTTTAACATTCAAATAGAATAACTGCTTGTGCTTCTTACATTTTCCATTACAAATGGCGATGCAATTTTTTTGAGTTCAAATAAAGAACAAAAATAGTAAAAACTAATAAAATAAAATAATAATACTGTAAAATAAAACAGAATAAAATATAATACAAAAAGTCTTGTAATAGTCCTTGATAAACAGTATGCTTAGATGTTTACTTTGACCTTCCATAACATGTAGTTGAGCAATGGGAAGAAGCCTGATTGACAGTTTTACAGGGCAGACTATTGAATAGAAAGATAAAATAAGCCAAATACAAGGATTTAAGTCATCATCATCTTTTCTTTATTATGAGAATTATTATTTTTTTCTCCCAGCGGTTCTAAATTATTTAAATTAATTAATTTATTTATAATTATTAATGTTAATAAGAGATGGCGCCTAACGCTTACATCTAGAGCCAAATTGGTTACGTAATTCATTTAGTAATTAGCCTTAAACTAGCCCGATAGATTTTACAGCATTCGGTTGGTGTTTAGCTATATTATGAGAACATTAGTGGTGACAATTGCAAGCTTCTCAGCTGTTCTAAAAGCAGAAATTTTGTGTTTAGTATCATTATGTCAGTTACTTCCCATTGGAACTAGCCTTTTTGTCTATGAAGAGTTGTTCTGCCAGGCTGTTGATAACCTTCCTCGCTTTAAATCTTCTCCTTAAATGCTCTGTTATCCTAGTTCTAAGGGTATAAGGTACTACCAACTTAGTACTTCATCCTGTTTATTTTGATTATGGCCACTTCATTGTTCTTTCAGTACTGATTATTTTTCAATTTTAATCAAATGATAAATCATATAGTCATATCATCAGTGTTCCTTTTCTTTGTAGATTTGCTGAGAATTTGGGAGACTTCCTGTTTGGTGTCAGTGATGTCGTTCTTGCTGTATCCTGAATGTTGGTATTTTGCTGCATTTTTGTGTGATGATCTGGCATCTGACTAGTTGACAGGCTCTGTATTAGCTTCAGATGGAAACCAAAGATCATTGCCATGTCTGTGATTGTCTCGATTTCAGCACATTAATGACTACAGCAAATAAGAATAGTGCTATGGAATAAATAAATATATTGTGTCCATTTATTTTAGTATTTGGATTAAATTAAAAGTTGTAGATAATTCAATGAGTAAATTTATAAATTTACACTACTGGAGATTAATAGAAAAGTTTTCATATACAGTCGACCCCCCTATAACACGGTAGATATGTTCCTCTTTTTATGAATCCAGCTTCTAGGAGTCCAGCCAAACACAGCCCGGCACGTATGCAGTTTAGCGGCTACAGCAGTTTGAAAGGTTTTCTTCCATAAAATTAATTGATTCTAGACTAATTTGACTCAACATTTCCAAAATACATATAATTTTTTGGGAATAATCCATATAAACTATGCTATAAACAAAAAATTGTAGGATTACTTACCGAGTGTGCACCATTCAACTATGCCATCGCTTAAGCTTGTTTTCGTTGTGGAGATTGTCATCGAATGGCGCTCACATGCTTCCCGAAGTTATTTTTTTGCAAAAAATTCGCTGAACTTTAGAGACATCATTAATATNGCTTAAGCTTGTTTTCGTTGTGGAGATTGTCATCGAATGGCGCTCACATGCTTCCCGAAGTTATTTTTTTGCAAAAAATTCGCTGAACTTTAGAGACATCATTAATATAAATATAATTTTTATGGACATTAAATAAATGGTTTTTGATAGGTCTGCTGCTCTTTTAAACTCAATGGTTTGTGCAATATCCGCTATTGGTCTAGATTTGATCAATCCTGTAGCAAAACGAGTCAGCGATGACATTTTATCAAATTATAGGAGTTTTCTTAGCATGTTTGTACGAATACTGTTGCAATTTTTTCACCGTGATATAGGAATCCGAACTATAGGAACCCATGTTATGGTGGGGTCAACTGTACTTTCAATTTTTAAATTTATAATGCATCTTACAGCCAATAGTATCTATATAAATTTGTAGTTAATAAGTATGCTATAATAATCATACCAGCAACAGCTAAATGGCAATGTTAAACAACATAAATTTTAACAAGCAATTATTTATTGTCACATCATCACAATGTTGGGCTGCAATTTTTAATCATATTTTTAATTCACTTAATTAAAAATATATGCTCTCCAGCTCAAATTAGTACTGTAGTGTCTTGCCCCTATATATCATATTTTTCCTTTAACAATAGTTGTGTCAGTTATCTTAACACCTTTCAGGGGGAAATTTTTGAATTGAAATAACATGACTTCTGGTTGGCATAAGAAGTTTGTATATAGTTAATTAGGACAGTGAGAATATATAGGTCTATGATTTTTTCAAATTGCAGTCCAGAAATATATATATTTTGTCCAGATAGATAGGATTGATTTTGATTTAAATAAAGAAGCATACCTATCTAGGCAAAAATATTCTCTTTTTATTATATTTATTATATTTAATATTGCAATTTTATTATTATCATGACTATTATATACTACTGTGCAGCATGCAAGAAATTTACAATACATTTTAATAAATATGTTATTTGGGAAATTATATATATAACTACATTGCTAGACCCAATAAATAAATATATATATATATATAACTTCAATATAATGTAATTTTCAAATTGATAATACTGATGATAATATTTAGTAAAATATGTATGATATTTTATGTCTATTATGCCTGATCAACTTAACTACACTTACTAAAGAGAGATTTTTCAAAAACTTCTTAAATTTGTAATAATTATTCACATTATTCACACACTTGAAACTCTTTTAACAAACAAATATAAGGTACTTTAAATTTCATAAAGAAAAATGAAAGGAGGAAAATGAAACAAGGAAAATTACAACTTTACTCAAAATAAAATTACATGCTTCCTTTTCTCATTTTTTATTTATATAATACTTAGAAAATCAACATTTTTACATTTATTATTTCAACATCTTTAAAAGTTATTTATTTGTGTGTGTAGAGATGAAATGTCTGTATAAACAAATAAATGCAAAAACTTATAAAAAATCACTTTTTACATTATTTATATTTTGAAAATCAAAAATGAATTTTTAAAATATTTTGTATTTACAAAGAATAAATTTAACATTTTAAATTGTGTTCAAGCAAATTGGCTCAATTCATATATTTTTTTAATTCTAAATTTCCTGAAGTATAGTGTGATTAAACAGATCAGAAAAGTCCTTATCATCTATATACACAATATGCTGCTAAAATCTTGCTTACTCCTGCTTTTATTGCCCTTTAAAACAAAATAATCATGCTATATAATAACAAATCCATTAGGGATAACTCTATTCAATTAAATAAATGATATATCATATTCTCATAAACATTTTTGAACAATGACCAAATGTTTATCATTGAATAAATTTGCTAACTTCATAAAATTATAGATTTTTATTGCATTTCATTGCAATTTTTTCAAGAAGAAAAAAAGATGCAATAATAATGACAAAATAATCAAATTTTTAATAACTATTATATTATAAATTGTTAACTATTATATTATAAAAATGCTTTCCTAAATTTAATTAGGAAAGCAAATTTAGAAAAAACTTAATTTAGAAAAAAATCAAATAATTTCTGAAAGATTTTGTAGAAAATGAAATTTTATATAAATTATCACAAAGAATCTACTCTAATTATCAGTTTATGTAACAACAACATTTCAGTCTCAGAACTGGAAGATAAAAACAAAAAACACATACAAACCTCAGTCAGTCAAGCAGAGAAATGCAGTCTGCAGAGTTGACCAAAAACATTTGAACCTTTAATTTTTTTACTACTGGATTGATTTTGAGGTTTTTATGTAGTTTTTGCTTTTTTTTAGTTTTACTAAATTAAATTCTAAGACTTAAATAATAATAATTCAAAAATGACCTAATAATATCAGGAGATATTAAGTAAAGCTTGATAGTATCAAATTAAAATAAATTATGTAATAATTACGAATATTGTTGTTTCAATAATTTATAACTTATTAAAATTATATATCAATGTTTATTGATAATTTATTCTTCAAGACAAATTCTTTTATTTAATTAAGTTTGCTGATCAGAAATATAAAACTGAAAAGGTTATTTTAAAGGTGCTTACAAATATAACAAAGGCTAAATATTCTTGGCACAGTTATGCCTTCTTCGGAATACAAAGTTGAAAAATTTACAAGGTCAGACCATTTAGATAACAAGAAAATTTATAGTTTTCATTTTTGTTAATCTTAAAATTCATTTGAGATATTTTAGAATCCTAAAAATTTTAAATTTTGAATAAAACATTTAATTTTTCTTTTTATTTAATATTTTGACATTAAAACTCTGGTTATTTGTACTTTGAAATTATAACATACCAAAAATAATTAGTATGTAATAAAATTTAAACTCTTTTAAGCTGCATATTATATAATTTATAAAATCTTTTTATTATATTCAATTTCTTTAATTTAGTAAAAGCAGACTATATAATAAATAACAACAGTAATTGTTATTTATAAAACTATTAAAGATGCTCAAAGTTCCATTTTTTTATATTTTTAGCCTCTTATGTTACTTCACAGAACCAATTTAGACCATTAAATGATCCTAACTTTCTCAGTAAAAATTCATATATAAAAATAATACTATTGAGAAAAATTTTGTCAAATGAAAATATGAAAAAATGCTTTCTATTAAAAGGTATTAATTGTCCATAAATAGTGATATCATTTATCACTGACATTCAGAAGACATATGTTGCTCATAACAATTGGACTCCTTGATATATTTTAATCCATTCATCATTTTTCTCAACATATTCTCTTGGACATCAGTACTATGTAAAAATTTCATTGGAAGAAAAAATTATAGTAGAAAATATTGAGAAATTATTACTGTAATAATTCTATTAGCCTGAAAGATTTATTATTCACATGTTTTGGATAATAATATCATTATTCATCAGATTAATTGCAAATATTATTAAATAATATTATCATTACACATTAAATAAGTTTGATGACTTAATATTTTTTTCATAACTTTTATTTTTACTGTTATTTTTATAATTTTAATTGGGTATTTTTTATTATTAATATGGGAGGTGGCTTATTTTGTTCATTGGGCATCACCACATATCTTTTCTATAAAGAATGAAAGATGGCAAACATTACATATATGTCCTGTATCCCCTTGCATTATGTGGATAGGTGCATCAGTACAATGTTCTTAGATTTGTTGTTCTTCAAGGTGATAATATCATGCGCTTTCATCCATGTTTTGTTGTCCTGAATGTATTTCTAAATGAATATAAACATGTTTATTCCTGAGGGTAAGGAGTTTTCCACTGGTAAAACATATGTTCTAAATTGTTAAAATAAGCAATAATCCATTTATAATTCTTTTTTTCCTTTATAATAATAATAATGTTTAATTCACTATATAATTAATTTACAAGTGTTCAATCACACTGTATTTGTGATTGATTCAATGACTTGATAAAAAGACTGTGTATATTCCTGATTGTGAAGATATACATTCTTCCAAATATTCAATAAAAATTTTCTGGAATATTTGTCTTTATTGTAAGTAAACTTTAAATATAGTAAATTTAACATTTTAAATTGTGTTCAAGCAAATTGGCTCAATTCATATATTTTTTTAATTCTAAATTTCCTGAAGTATAGTGTGATTAAACAGATCAGNAGATTATATTCTGTTTTAACAAATGATGTCATTTGTTAAAACAGCTTAATTTAACATTTTAAATAAAATGTCAGATGCTTTAAATTCATATAAATTTTGAACCGACTTTCCGAAATTTCATAAAATATTATATAGCCTAAAATTACTTAAAATTAAATCAATTTAAGGAAGAGAGCAAGCAAAGCAGCTACAATCTAATGCGTGTCGTATGCATTTTAATACATTTTAGCACTATCAAATTAACCAAATCAAATTAACGATATATCACATTTCAATAAGCATTTTTGTCATAACTTGCACACCAAAATATTCAACACTTAGTTTAATAACAATACTGCCAAAGGAAACTAACCAAAAACTAAATTTGTATATTATACTTCTGAATAACAGCCATATCCTTATTATATATGACCTATATCTGTTTGTATTTATATAGTTTTATTAGCAATTAAATCAAACAACACAATTTTATAAGATCAATGAACTAATCAACAAATTCAAAACAATATTTTGTATGTATTTAATATACAAATATTACAAATTCAATTGTTTACATTAAATTAGTATACTTTTAATATTAAAAAAAAGGTATATCATTGAATTATTTTCACTTTATAAACAGTTTATTGATAAATTAATAATTTTTTCATACATTACATTAAAAAAACTTTTAAAAAATTTTCTCACCTTCTAAGCAATAATGTGAAAGTCATGGTCAATATCAAGTAGTATCTAAAAAAGAAAAGGACTGTGTAATTTCTATTTTGAAGAGTCTTTAATAGCTGTTTTCAAAAGATATCCATTCGAAAATGTCTTTTCCTTAATAGAATATATATATAATTATAAACCATTCCAACTACAGAAGCCACATGTACGAAAGGTTTGTTTAGTAATCTCAATTCCAATTGCGTTTATGAATATGCAATTTGAGGACGAGGTTATGATTTCAAGATGGCGGCGCCCGTAATGTGACGGTGATAACACGTCGCGGTTGGAAAACTATTAAAATCTTTAATATTAAAGAAGAATATATTTTCTATTATTTCAGTTATATTTAGGTAAGTAGTGTGTGCGAATTTATATGCACCTAAAACCCTAAAACATGCAGTAATATGTACAGTATTGCAGTGTCTGTATGAGAGGTAATCCAGCTGTTTTCAATTTCTTGATACTTGTGGCTAGAAAGTAGAATGAGCCGAGATGTATGCCAACTTTTAAACTATTTCCCTATTCTAAAAAGCATCCTGACGATTTTCTATCAAGACTGCATCACTTCTGACGCTGTTGAAATGGTCATTGTAGAATTTGCATGCCTCAATGACATGTTAACACAATCTCTGGCGTTAGAGACACTACTGTTATCACGTCTTGATATTGTTGATTCCTCAAAGGTGTTTTAAAAAAATACTTTCTTAGTCTTCGAAATTAAATTGTTTACCTTAGGAATCTGATGTAGCTGAGCCACAGTTTACTTGAAGATTCATAACATCTAGTATACGAAATACATTATATCATAGTAAAGCCCTGTTATCTGATTAAACTTTAAGAGTTAAATTATTTCAGTAAGTTAATAAGTGTAAGCATTAAATTAAATTTTATTGTATGAGATTTGGAATAAAAGCAGAAACTATAACCTGTAATCTAGTTAAAATAAAAACAAACTTTTTCAACTGTTTTTAACAGTCATCTTCAGTTTATGGAACGAAACAGAATAAACAAAATTTAAATAAAACTCGTTAAACACGTGCTGGTATTCGCATGCATAAAAGAATTTTGAAGAAAAATAAAATACAAGTATTTTAAATTAAATAAAGTACTGTACAGTACATATATCCTCAAACCTGATAATTGAAAAATGTGTTTTTTAATCAATTTATTTTGAAATTACGATATATTATCAGAAGTTTATTTAGGCATTCAATACCAACCTTTGACTCTCGGGTTTTTTAAGGGCACATCCATTAAAATGGATCCTCGGGTCCTAACCAAATTATAGCAATTTGAAACTTTAAATTTTTATTGAATGTACCGTACTTGTTTAAAAAAACAATGAAAAATAAAGTGAATAAAAATAAATTATATAGTCCAAGATGTTTTTATTTCTTATGAAAAGCCAGAAAGCAGTAAGAAAAAAACACTTTATTGTATTTAGTCTTTAGTACAGTCTTCAAAAGTATTAACCGTAATTTCATAAACAAGCAAATTTTAACTTCGACAAAACACAGTTAACTTATTTGAATAGTGTCAACAGTTAATTAATCCCTCTTTTTCAATGTTCCTATTGAGGGGGACGTTGATTGTTTATATTTTAGATTGATTTAATTTAATAATTTTAATTTACTTGTATTTAAAGATGCCTTCAAAATAAAATATAGTTACATCAAAAAATGAATATAATGTGATTTAACATTTTAACTCACTAGAACGTTAAATCAATGAGAACCCTGAGCTTGTTTCTTTGCAACAAGACGGTTCCATCTGGGGGTAATAGGATACAATGACACCCGAAGTGTGTTTCTTATGTCCAGTTTATTCCGTTGTTCCGTCATCCATTAAAAGTCGCGCAAACCCGAGAGAAATACACCATAGTAAATAAAATGGAAATACCAGTAATTTAATGTTCCTTGGGCGGCCCGGTACCATTTGATCCACGGACCGGTACCGGTCCGCGGCTCGGGGGTTGGGACCACTGCTCTAGACGACGTTGGTACTTCCCGTGGATGACGATAGACCACCACGTAAACCTACTCAAAGGTATTGCCTAAGGTGAAATTATAAAGAAGGGTAGGAAAGGGGATGAAAGGGAAGGCCCATGAGCGTCTGCATCGCTTTTATTTGAAACAATTTTAAAATATATATACAATAATTCGATAGGCAACTAGTGCTCTTACCGAAGGGCACATGAACAGATAACAATATAAAACATTGCAACTTGCAAATGGGGGAACCGATAAAGCCCATTAGAGGGCAAAAGAAGGAGTTTAAACTCAAATAGACACGCGACTCACGTAACAGATCTCTAATTGATGGTCACATGAACGTAGTAACTATTGCGACTTGCAATGGAAGAACCGAAAAGACCCTGCATAGGACATTAACTAATTATATAGGCTACATACCGTTATTAACTATACAACTTGAATTAAAGGACACGCGATAATTGCCTATATAAAACATTGTAACGTAATGGGGAGACCGGTGAAGACAGTTCCCTGAACACAAGCCACAGTGTAGTGCGCTGTACAATGGGCTGGCACTACGCGACATAGAGAAAATGTTCCTAGCGATTGGGTGGCCCGACACTTGCGAGGGTTTTACTTGGTCCTTCCAGCGGCCGAACGTGTTGAAATTCTATGTTGAGTGCGGGAAGAAGTACTTTGAAGACAGTAGGCATGTAGATTTAGTCTCTGGAGGTGAAGTTCCCGTTGGGTGCCTTTGAAGACCCCAAGAGTGTAAGTTCAGGTTCTGGAGGTGAAGTTATCGTTGAGTGCTCCTGTGGAGTCGAAGAAGGCGTTCCGTTCTGTATACAAGTCCTTATTTTTGGTGAAGGCCAGTTCCAACTCAATGAAAGGGCCTTTTGTAGAAGAGGAATCCTCCGAGTATCGAAAGGTAGTACATTCGAAGATAAGATGGTAAACATCTTGCGGGGTTTGTCCATCCCAATTACAATGAAATTTGTCCATCCCAATTACAATGATTACTATTCTGAAGATAGAACCTATAAAGGTAACTCCGTAGGTTCCCGTGGCCGGTAAGGAGTTGAGAAGTAATGTGGTTGATATTCAGATGTTTCCATTTAAGCCTTTCTTGGATGTCTGGGATGAAAACAAATGTCTCCCTGTTTTTTCTTTTCCCACTCTCTCTGCCAAAGGGCAATGGCTATATTGTGTAATACGTTTTTAAAAGTAATCTTAGCTATATCATTAAAGCTAGCAGGGATTTGTGATTCTACTTCGAGGTGGTCTGCTTCTTAGTTTCCCTTTAGTCCATTATGACCTTTAACCCATGTTAAAGCAAAGTAATTATTAGTATTTTCTTTTATTTCTTGATTAATGGTTATTGACTGGAAACAGTTTTGGTTATTGATCCTTTTTAAGGCAGTTTGGCTATCAGATAATATCAGGATGTGTTGATTATTGAAATTATATTTATTGATATAATCGATAGCTTGGTTAATGGCTGAGTTCTGCTTGCGTGATGGTGCAATATTCCGCAAGACAGAATTTTTCACTGTGAATTGGTTGAGTGGGTCTTTCCCATATACGATGAAGGCTGCACCGACATTTTGTGCTGTTTTAGACCCGTCTGTGATTTGTAGGAATGGTTTTATTTCCTCGTTTTGGTCGAGTTGTGGGGTGCTACTGTGACTGCTGCTGGATGGAGTTTTGTTGGAATCTGTATGTGAGAAAGACTTTGGCAGATTTGTTTCATAAAACCAAGATCAAAATTCGGTAGTTTCATAAAACCAAGATCCAAATTCGGTAGAAGACCAATTTGTGTATATTTTGACAGGTCATCAGGCTTATTGAGATTAAAGTTGTTCCAAATGAGCCAATGACACATGATTTCTTTTACCTTCAGATGTAGTAGTTTAAGACCGGTGATCACCTGGACAGCAGCTGTGGGCGATGTCCTATAAGTCCTGGTCAGTCGAAGAAGGGAGAGTCGTTGGACTTTATTCAATAATTTGCAAATCCTTGTGTTGTCAATCACACTGCCCCAAAATGGTGACACAGTCTCTTGCACAGTCTCTATACAGGCTGTGTATATAAGATAGATGGCTTTGGGGCCTAATCCCCGATTTTTATTGCAAATGCAGTTTAAGGCGTTGGGGATCTTGGTTGCTTTTTTTGGCTCTGTTATTAATACACATAATATAAAAATTTTGTTTAAGCCGATTGGTCCATCCCGCGTTTGCGGCCATAAAGATTCGATATTTTTATTCTCTGCTACAGGTAGCACAGCACTAGATGGAAGCGGAGTGGAGCGTGTTAGATGTTAGCAACAATTTGACGCGATATTGTCTATTTTATTGAAACAATGAAAACTAGGCAAGCCCAGAACATAATACCTCTGCTGCCAAACTTCCCAATTGGCACAACAAATTCGAACAGAAATAGTTTTCTTGGCATTTTCTAACCTCAAACATCCATCAGCAGGGCTGCTTACGGGTACACTCCGCCTTTAAGCGAGTGACATTTTTCCACTCCCTATCAAAATTAAATGTTTTAAAAATACCTTTACACGTTTTAAAACAAATATTTTATTTCAATATAATAATGTTACACACATAAAGCAACATGGTTCCATATACCCTCTATCAATACCCTTGCATAGAAGTGTGCCAAAGGAAACTATGGTTGGGTCATCGCACACCTAACTTATTTTTATCAACTGTATACAGCTCTGTTCGTAAATTATTTAAAAGAGAAAAAATATACATAAATATAAATAAATGCATGTTTATTTGTTATACGTCTGTGAATAAATGCGGCTATATATTTTAAATACACCATTTTGTCTATTGTACTGTCTGTGAATAAAAGTTTTCTCACATAAGCAGTGAACATACAACCTTACACCATTACACTATGACCCCATAATTACTGTGACTTGAATACAGTGTGGAAATAATATTTTTAAAAATGGAAAATGAAAAGTAAAATTTATAATTAAAGTAAATATTGAAAGTTTGAAATCCAAGTCAATATGAGCTTGAATAAAATCAATATAAATACAGATAAATTACTGTTTGAAAAATTACATTAAGTGGTCATTTTTCTAGATCCATCGAGGATTGAACTGGGCTCCAGAATGAAGGCTGCTGAATGGTGAGGATTTGTTTGTTTAGCTAAGTTACGGCAACGCAATACTTGGGCGATCTGCCTAGGGAAATGCCTTCCGGGAGGCGTTTTTAAGGGTAAC